CGAACCGGGGCCCTCTGGCATCCCAAGCGAGTTCTTAACCATCGCGCCACTCGGCCGGCCCTGATTAATCTTTTTGAAACCTGCTGCTATCCATCCTCTCACCCCATGACAGGACTGCAAATCCTCCACCATCTCTGACCTCTGCTTAACTCTTCCAGCAGAGAGAACGCACAGCACACGCTGACTAATGAATGTGAGAGCTTAAAAGAACCCTAGAGATCCTCTGGTCTAGCCTTCAACAGTTTACCGAAGTCTCAGAGCTATTAGTGGAGGATTTGCAATCCTGTGTATCTCCTGCTTTGCAATCCTGTTACCTGTTTTCACTTTTGGACAGCGTTAATTGTTCTTGTCTCTGTTGTACTTGAATCTGTCTCCTTAGAATGCACTTGAAACTACTGGTTCTCATTCTAAACCCTGGAGCCACACCAAACAAGTATATTGTCCTCTGGTGAGGGAATACAATATATTGTAAGTGACAAGTTATTTAACTTTTTTTAATGGTAGGGTATGAGTCTTGTCTAAAGTCTTCAGTTTTCTTCCGATGGATGTGGTAAAAATACAGTGACTCATTTGTATTTTAGAACAGGAACTAAGTTTTTGAAAACAGAGCCCTTAAAAAAAAAGTACTAGGGGAAATTCTCTGTTGAAGGAAAGGCTCATTTGACAATACAATCCTTTTCTAACATAACTTTTGCATACATGACTTTTAAAAGTTTTTTAATTAAAAATTTAAAATTGTATTAATTTTTAATTTATTTTTGAATAGGTAATATCTTTATATTGCTCAAAGATAAGAAAACATAAAAAAGGTATTCAAGAAAAGTCTTGTCCCCATTCTGTCCACTGTATGACTAGTCCTTACACTTCCTCATCCCATAAATAATGTCAGGGTTTCTTAATGCAAATACAAATACAACAAATACAAATATGTATGTATTTTTAAATAGGTATTGCTTGAAATAAAGTACATGCACTGTGAAACTCACGTCTCTCATTTGGTCTCATTTAAAATGATTCTATGTAAGATGCTTGGAAATACTGGTAGAATTCTAGAATGGGAAGCTTTGTGAGCTTCGTGGACTGGGTACTTGTAAATAATAGGAATAGAGTTAACAATAAATAAAGGGATTTTTTTTCTGTTTTACCTTTGAGTAATCTTTGATTTTTCTTCATAACTCTTTTCCTGCTCACTGTGGAATATTTGGGAAATACAAGAACACATAAAGAAGTAGGGTTAATTCATTTATAATTCCATTTTGGAATACACTTGGCCATTATTTCACTCTGCACTTGTTCCTGATCTTCCCCTCCCCCTTTAAACCAGCTTGATGTCCACGTTCTCCCTATCACTCACCCAGTAAACGTGGTCATTATTAACATCTGTACTTCTACCCAAGTCTGCTCCTACTTTTCCATCTCACTTCCTCTAGGACCCTTTCTCCAACAGTCTTAAGTGCTACTAGGCCTCTACTTAGTCCATTAGCCCTATCTGCCATCTTTCCATTCCTCCCCCCGTCTTTACCCAGCTAGAGTCCATGTGTCATCATTAAATTTCCTCTTTTGCACTCACCCATAACATTCTTCCCTTTCCTTCAGTCATACTCATGGGGGCAGAATCCACAATCTGGTTAATCTCATATGTCTGCTATTACTATGTTTGTACTGGAATGCTTGGTATGAAAACATACAATGTTGCAAACTGGTCTCATTTAAAACCAATGACCAACAGGCCTCAAATAAGCTTTCTGTGGTTCCCAGAAATCCTGTGACATTTCCCTAATTAACTATGTCACCCTTTAGTTCTCTCAGACAATTTTACACCTTCTTTTGTCTCCTCAGACTTTTATCATCCTCCACTCTTCTCACTTCCATTTGATGCTGTCATTCATTTCACTAAGGGAAGAAGAGACTTCCATCTTTTACCACCAATCCTTCCGATGCAATTGCACTTAACCCTTATTTTCTGCTTTTTCTCTTGTCAGCAATGGGTGAGCTGTCTGTGCTACTCCCAGAATCAATGCCTCTTCTTGTGC